ATATAGCCTATATCAGATTGCAGGCCTTCTTGGGAAAGGTAGAGGAGAGAGAGGGGGAAATAATTTAGAACTCAAAATCTTATAAAAGCAAATGTTGAAAACTAAAAATAAATAAATAAATAAAATTTTTAAATGTAAAAAAAAAAGACCTGAGTATAAATCTTAGTTCTGACATTTCATAGCTATATGATCACTACAAAATCACTTAACTTCTCTGGCCTTCAGTTTCCCAAAAGTGGTGATAATAGCTGTAGCCTCCTACTTCCCAGGATTGTGACACTCAAATGAGATACTGTATGAACTTTCAATTGGTACATAAATGCCAATCATTAAATAATTTTAAGTGCAAGTGTCAGGATCTGGTTTGTACTTTAAAAAGGCAGAGGATGAAGATACGTTGAATTGTTTAAATTTCCCAGAGACATTAAAAAACAAAACAAAGCAAGATAGGCTCTAATTTGGAATAGCTAAGGAGGAATCCTATGCTGGAGTAGGATAATAATAAGGAAGATGAAGTAGGAAGGCTCTTTAACTAGGGTTAGAAATAGACTACAAGAATTCTGCTGATCAAGAGACATTCCATAGTGAAGCACATTTATTTCAAGTTCTTTGATGTTGATGATAAAGCATTTTTTGCCCCCTGGGAAGGAGGGAGGAGAGGGAATCACTCCTTAAACATGACTAATATGGAAGTTTAAAAAAAAAAAGTGCCAGCCCAGGTAGTCTATAAGGGAACAAAAAACCAGTTATTTTGCCATATGGATTTTCCCAGGGGTGGAGAAAACTTCCTTTTAAGCTGAAGTTTGTTTTTTTTTTAAAGTATTCTCCAGGGGTGCTTCCACACTTTCATTCAATCACAGAATTTTAGAATTGGAATGGACCTCAGTAGTCACATAGTATAAACCATGCAGGAAAAAGAATCTACTCTATAACTCCTTATGTGATACAGTGGAAAGAGTGGTGATTCTTAAGTCAAAGTACTTGGGTTTGAATCCCACCTCTGGTTCTTACTTCCTGTGTGACCTTGGGTAAGTCACTTACCATCATCTCTGAGCCTCAGTTTCATCATCTATAAAATATGGAGTTGTATTGATGATCTTCCATCTACCCTATATGTAATTGGAGTTGGGGGAAAGAGTCTGTTCAGTAAATCAATCAAATCATCCTGCCCCATTTAAAATAAGCATCAAGGTACTAAAGCCTTGATACTTTAACTAAGTGAGACTACTTGTCTATTGAATCAACCAATCATAGACTTTATATAAAGTATAAAATAGTCTTTGATCAACTGTAATGATTGTACAGGAAATGTATTGGGATTATCTTTGAAAAGTTGCTCATGGGAGTTCTGCTTCCAGGAGCCAAGATGGTGGAGTAAGAAGCAATTTGCTCTCTTATTAACCTCTGAAAGCCCAGAAAATATCGCCCCAGGAAAACCCTGAAACAGCTGAACCAGCAGAAAGACAGGGTGCAGCAGTCTAGTAGCCCAGGAAGCTTGAGGGATTAACTGGAAAGGCCCCTCTTGCCCTGGGGGGGAGGAGGAGCAACAGTTACAGAACAGGAGACATCCCAGCTATTGGAAAGCCCCACTTCAGCATACCAGAGGGAGATCCTGAACCTCAGGTGGCGGAGCAGGCAAACACCAACACCAGGACTCTCCAGTATAGGCAGGGGAACCAGTGGAAACCGACTCAGAAAACCACCTTGGAAAACCACCACGAGCCACGGCCATTCTATGACAGCCAAGATTCCCAGTGCCTCAGGAAAACTCTAGGAAGCACAGCTCCAAGGGGGAAAGCCCCAGGCAGAGAAACATCCTGTAGTAGTGAAATATCAATCTGAAAGGAGACAAAGAAAGTGAAAGCAAAGACCTGGGTAAACAGGTAACCTCCAGGGGCCAGAATACCCAATCCTACTCCTAGAATTCCAGTGTTGCTGATTCCAGCCCAACACTAGGTAAGCTGCCAGAACCTGACAGTCTCCAACTGCCAGCACTGGAGGCCCCAGCACACAAAGGCAGTGACCAGGCCCTGGCCTCCCAACAAAAGAAGCTTGGGTCAGTGCCCCTCGATCCCCAGCAGGAGAGCTCAATCTTTTTAAAGGCCAGAGAATAAGGAAACACCATGAGCAAAAACAAACATACTATAGATTCTTATTATGGGAACAGTGACGATCAAGGCAGAAATTCTGAAGAGGACAACATTATCAACAAACCCCCATCTGGAACCTCAAACGGGAATACGAACTGGTCTGAAGCCCAAAAAGCCTTCCTGTAAGAGCTCAAGAAGGATTTTAAAAGTCAAATAAGAGAGGTAGAAAAGTTGCTCATATCTCATGAGTTGTTCATAAAATACTGATGCTG